AAGTATTCATATTTCTTTTTGAAAATGTGTTTAAAATTTCCATATTGTAGGCTAAATATTCTAAGATTGTATCTCCTATTTCATTCCTCTCTTCAAACACAAATCCTTGATGCACCATATCATATCCTACACTTCATTTGCCTATATGCCCATTTAAGTCTCCTATAAAAATCTTTTATTCCTCATTTGCCAATTATTGGATTAATCCTTCTCTAAGTCTTCCCAAAATTGTATTTTATTGTTGTCTTTTAAACCCACATGATGTGCATTTGCACTAATTATGTTAATGATTTATTCACCTAAAACAAGTCTAAGAACAACTATTCTATCTCCAATTTTTTCAACATTCTGCTATTATCACTATCCCATTTTTATTAATTTCTCTCATGTACCACATTTTGTAGTCATCAATTTCTTTAGCTATTTCCCTTCTATTTAGTTTCTTTTAAGAATGCAATTTGTTAATTCCATAGTCTTTCTTGTTAATGTTCCTACAATCGAAGTGGGTAGCAAAAGTTGTGTTTCCTGGTTAGCCTCTTTACCCGTCCCCATCCAAAAGGATGTAGGAACCCTTGCCTATTGAACACAACAACCGAACATTGTTGTAGTGAGTAACTTATGGGGACTTTCCTATCCTAGCCCATTTGACACCACACAGGTTAAGGTGTGGTGTGCCATTTTCGAAGAATACCCTAGCATGATCACAAAAAGACAAATCAGGACCCATGATCATGAGAGTTTGACGAAAGTTTTTGTGCCAACTACCAGTAGTCGCTCAAGACTGAACAGACACTTAAAAGGAGAAAAAAAAAGAAAAGAAGAGGGAGAGAAGAGAGAGAGAGAGAGAGAGAGATTTTGATAAAAGCGAGTTGGGTTGATGTGTTTAAACAGYCGCCCCCCTCTTAAATTTATATACATAGTATCATACTTGTAAAAGGACTGAATTGCTTACATGGCAAGATAAGATAAGATAAGATAAAGCTGAAAAAAGACTAATCCTAATCTTATAAAAGACTAGTCCTAATCTTATAAAAAACTAGTAATCTTATCATAAAGAACTAATTCTAATCATAACTTATTGCTGACATACGAACAGTGGGGACCACCTTAGTGGGGTCCACATTAGTGTTCTCTACACTACCAACCTGATGCAACCCCCCTCTATTTAGGCTTGGGACCAATGGTATCATTTTATTGATAAAAGAATGAATTATGTACAAATGATGGGCATCCCCAAGTCTGAGATGCCCTCACCACTATACTTTTATATAAAAAAATTCCCCTAGTACCCAAAATAAATTGTATCCAAGGCACCTACCAATCCTTGGTTCGGGGCAAAAATATTTTCCCCATCCCCCCCCCCTGATCCCTGTTTAAGATTGGAGAAAACCCGCCCCATTTGGGGCGGGGCTCTGATTTTACAGGGAAAATTACTATCCCTATTAGGATATACTACTTCCTCTTTGCATCCTTTTTCCTTCCACCCATTCTAATTTATTTAATGTAAATGGCTGGAATAGTTTGACATTTGGAAATTGCATCATAGTTTGATGATGCCACCATGGAACACGGTCATGCTGTTGGAAACTTTCCAATCAGTAAAAGTGAAGATGAAGAGGTAGATGAATGGCTAAAAGAGAAAGAAGTGGGAAACATTTGTAAACCTACTGCCACAAGTAGTGAGTAGGAGAAAGTTTTCAAAGGCAGGTCTTTGGTTGGGGTTTTGTAAGTTTGACCTTTAAGTTTAGGACGCAAATTTATGATGCCCAAATATTGATATGGGCAAGGACATGGATGGGGAAACAGGAATATGACTCCATTTCCTAAAATCCGGGACACAATTTTGGGAACCCAGTTTTGGATATTTCTCAAAAACTTGCTTGTTGGAGGAGGAATTACATCTTGTTCAGTGGCAGAATTACCTTGATTAAGTCCACTCTTTCCAACCTCCCTATATACTACCTCTCTATGTTTAAGATTCTTACATTAGTGGCAAAGAGACAGAAGAAGATTATAAAGGACTTTAGGAGATTGGAAAGGCTAAGAAGGCCCACTTGATCAATTGAAGGACTATATATAGGAAGAAAGAGGAAGGGGTTTTGGGAATGGGAGAACTTTGTCGAACAAAAGATTCTCTTTTGGATAAGTGGCTTTGGAGGTTTCCCTTAGAAGAGGACAAATTATGGCACACTATGATTAAAAGCATTTATGGTTTAGACCTAGTGGCCACAAGAGGTCCTTTTACATCTCCTAGGAAATTGATCTCCATCATCCTTCAAGTGTTTGTCTCTCAGATTCACTATGGCATCTCAGATGATAAAAGAACTAGGTTCTAGGCGGATCTCTAGTGGGGCAATGTTACCTTAAAAGAGAGTTTCTCTCATATTTACTTTCTTTCTTTGAACGAAAACAAATCAGTGTTCCATTGCTTGTCCAGTGTTGTGCCGAAAATAACGTGGAACTTGGGGCTAAGAAAGGAGTAAAAGTGTGTTGGATAAAAAAAAATAAAGAGAAAACAAGGAAGAAAATGCGGGAAAGTAGAGAAGAATAGAGGAAGAAGAAAAAATTATAATATGTCCCCAATTAGTAAAAGATTAAGCATAAAATCTCCCTAAATGATATAAAGTATGGTAGGCCCACAAATAGCCCCATAAGCATCCACCTAACAACAAAGGGGGTTTAGGAATAATGCGGTTGAAGCAATGCAACTAATCCAATACTTATATGGTATGTCTTTGTGTCCATCTTCATCTGATAGTTGCATTTGGCAACCCTCCTCTTCTATCTTATTATCTTGTTCTCCATTCTTCTAGAGTTTGTTTCCCTCTAATCCTTTACCTAGGGCCTTCCCATCTAGAGCCATTTGATTGGGTCCCGGTCCTCCTAAGGGCTTTCTATTGAAAGGTGTATCATCAAAATATTAATATCTGTGAGGTCCTCCAAAGAAAGGTCCCAATTGGTGTTTGTCTCCCAATTTAAGCTTGCTGTGTTGGCAAAGTGGTGAATCTACTCCACACTTGCTAATCTCCTGCCTCTTTGAGAAGAAAGGAATGCAAGGATATTCAAGGAAGAAAGTCATACAGTCGAAAACTTAATATAAAATATTATGGTTAGGTCAGCTCACTAGGTCAAAACAACATCACTCTTTAATTCATTTACGAGGAAGATACCATAGGCAACTAGCAGTAGGTTGCTAATTCTTCCACTTGAAGAACCATGGTAGTAAGCATGTAGTATCCTTCCCCACCAAATTATATAAAACTGTTTTGATAATCGCAACTTGGGCAATCCAGGTTTAGTAGGAGTAGGGGTATTTTCAGAAACCATGACATGGAAATTTATCAATACATTCAGGACCTATAGGCCAAGGTAACTCGATCAAGGTAGAGTTGATGGCATTACTGAAGAATTGGAATTAGGGAAGTCATTGAGCCACAACAACCTATTGAAGAGGGAGACACTCGCACAATCATAGGGTGGATGGTGAATAACAGAAAAGGACCTTTGTGCTATAGGCACTCAATTAGAGAGGAAACCAGGCTAACAAGGCAAGCGAGAGTTATATTCATCTGGACTGGAAGATTAGCAAATGGATAGCAGATGCATCAGCTAGGCAAGGGGTCCACAGGAACCAAATGTTTTGGGGAGGTATTAATAGGGCACCTGAAAACTTTGTATCCTAGTAAAAGAAAAAGGCCTTTACGTAAGATTGGGGTGCAATGGTACAATTAATGCTGTAAATAGCTTATTTTTTTATACATAATTAATGAAAATTTCAAGTTATACATAAAACAAAATCCTGGACAAGAATTGGTATATGGGTATCCCATGTAGTATGCTTATATCATGCATTTATATCGAGTTTCTGAAGCTGAATGTCATTTTGAAAGACTTATATCTTGCCAAATTTAATTAAATTTATAACATGTGCAGACCTCTTATAGTATAATTTGTTAAAGCATACAAATTTACATATTTTAGAAATGTTAATGCTATAAAGTACATTTAGAAGTATCCATGAAGCATCTGATACTGTCCCCAGTATTCTAAACCAGTATGCTAGGTGTTATAGGGATCTAGGTTTAATAGCTGCAAATCTTATAAGGATTTACCTCGACATGTCCTTGGCTCTGGCCTGGTGCTTGTTGCTGTCAGTGTTATTGGTTTTCTTTTCCTTATTTTTCTTTTAGGAAGGTGGGGGAGAGATCTTCATCCATGTTTTCTGAGGCTAGCTGTTTTGACAGGTTCCAAGGCCCCGCCCTCATTTTGGGTCGGGGTGGGGGCTTGGAATTATAGAGGATTAGTCCTCTTGGTTGTTTATCTCTGAATATTGCAAAAGTGTTGTTGTTTTGGGCTCATTTGTAATTTTTGTTTTGTTTTGAGGCTGCATCTCGTGCCTCTTAGTGGGAGCAGTCATGCTGTATTCTTATTATTGGTCTTTAATAAAATTTCTCTTATAAAAAAGGGTAAATTACAGATAGGTACCCTGTACTTTGGGGGTAGTGACAGATAGGTACCCTGAACATTCAATTGCAACACTTGAGTACCTTGAACTCTCAAAAATAGACACTTGGGTCCATCCATTAATATTTCATCAGTTAAACATTACATAATGTCAAAAATACCCTTCTAGTGTATTTTTGAGATCATTCTATGGAGTAAAATCATCACAAGAGAATGCCGTCATCGGAAAATCACATGAGAACATCATCGTGGGGGGGGGCGTTCAGTTACCTGAGAATGATCTCAGAAATACACGATAAGGGTATTATGTAAGGTTTAACTGACGGAATACTAACAGATGGACCCAATTGTCTATTTTTGAGAGTTCAGGGTACTCAATTGTTGCAATTGAATGTTCAGGGTACCTATCTGTCACTATCCCCAAAGTACAGGGTATCTATCTGTAATTTACCCAAAAAAATATTGCAAAAATGGTGTTATCTATCACAAATTCATGACAACTATGTATAAGGCTATAGGCTACCTTTTTATGCAACAATGGATCATTTAATAGATGCAGTAAGCCTTACTTTTGCAATAAAGAATGTCTCGTTTTGAGCTGTAGGTAAAACATTTCCAGATTCATTGGTTTTACCATCTCCATGTTCATGTGTGCCAGATCCATTGGTATTTCTGTCTCCATGTGCATGTGCACTAGATCCGTTGGTATTGTTATCTCCATGTGCACATGCATCAGATCCATTGGTATTCTTATCTTCATGTGCACGTACACCAGATCCATTAGTATTCTTATCTTCATGTGCATGAACACCAGATTCATTGGTATTGGTATCTCCATGTGCATGTGGAATGTACACATCTGTTATTGGTGATGGTGGTGCAGATTCACTTTGTTGCTTCTCCAGAACCATCTATTTCCAACAGTAAAGGAACAAAGGAGTTAATGTATGTACCATTTGCATCTTCTCTTGTATAAATGCATAAATAATAAAATTCTATCAGATAATAGCAAAGTGCAGGGTAGTACTAAAAAAACCAATTTGTTACACCTCAGCATGGAGCTTCTCTAGAATAGCAGCAACACTTTGATGATAAGATTTCTCAGCATCTACCTGAAAGGAAATCGTACATGAGCTCCAGTAGCCATAAAACCTAGGCTTCCAAAGAACATGAAAAAATTGGATATGTCTATACCACTGATCAAATGTTCTCTTTTTTCTTTTGGCTGGAAAAATACAGATGAAAACAATGAGTCAATTTTATCAGTCAAGGGTGCATTATCATCACCTAATCAGCTTCAGTGAGGACTATAACCTTCAACATTCGAAAACCCATAAAATAACCTTCAATATTTGAAATGAAAACCCATATTTGATCCCTGCTACCAAATGTGATAACATATTAAGGAGCTTCATTTTATCTTTCCAAGTTTAAAGGTCAATAATATTATCACAATCATCAGCATCCAAGACTTGTTCCATTTATTGAATGCCGGGTATGGAAATTTTACACCAAAAATCTATCTAGGACTATATGTAATGCTCTTTTGTGAGCTTAAACTAGAAAGCCAGGTTTCATGTAAAGAGTTGGCAAGTTATTTATGCTGGATGTCAACCTGAAGCAATCATCCTTATCCAATCTAGAACTAGCAACACAAAAGAAGAGATAGAAAAACATTTGAAGGGGTAAGGATAGTTGATAAGCATCATAAAAGATCTGGTTCCAAGAACTAGTAAACATGCCTCCATATTCATACCAAGAACCAAATAATCAATATCAAGAAATGATGGTATTTGACATGCAGAACTATATCTTTTCTCTTTTTGTGCCTACTCTGAAAAATGAGTAATGTCTAAAATTATTTGAAGGCAAGTCACTGAGAGTTTGATCAAGATTGGAAAAATCATGAAAAGGCACAACTTGAAAATAGAAAGGGCCTCCAAATGATGAAACTATCATGAATCCTTGATGTAAGCCTAAACAACGAAGGACCTAAGAATAAGACGATTATATTAGCACATCAGAAAAGAGTCTGACTTCCCTCAATGTAAGCCTAAACAACCAAGGACCTGTTCTGTCCTGTCTTAGCCAACCTGCCACTGTATTAGAATCTCCTTCAACTATTAAGCCTTCAATATTTTGAGCCTTTGAATGTGTGGAGGAAATCAGGCCAGCAAGGTGTTGTTTGTAAATTGGATTTAGAAAAGGCTTATGACTTAGTGGATTGGAGCTTCTTGATTGAGGTCCTAAGGAACTGTGGTTTTGGTGATAGGTGGTGCAATTAGATGGAGGGCTATATTAGTTCTGTTCATTTTTCAGTCCTAGTAAATGTTGTGGTTAAGGACTTCTTTCCAGACTCTAGAGGATTAAGGTAGGGAAACCCCCTTCTCCCTTTCTCTTTACCTTGATAGCAGATGTGTTCAATAGGCTTCTCTCAAAGGCAGATATGGAAGGGGCAATTAGAGGTTGGAGGACAGGAAGAAATAGTGTCCTAGTGACCCATCTCCAATTTGCTGATGATATTATTATTTTCAGTGAGGGGATTGACCTAAGAAAAGTAAGGAATCTGAAAGCTTTAATAGGTTACTCTGAAGGGGTCTCTAACCTGAAAATAAACCTGGACAAGAACTATGTGGTAGGGATTAACCTAGATGAAGGGTTTATTGAGTTTGTGGCAGAGTGCTTAAGTTGTCATGTAGCTTCTTGGCCCTTGTCTTATCTTGGGCTTCCCCTAGGGGCTAACCCGAAAAGAGAGCTGTTTTTGGACTCCAATCCTAGAGAAATTTGAAAAAAGGCTAGCAGCTTGGAAAAAGAGCTATATATCTCTAGGAGGTAGAGTAACTTTGCTTAAAGCCACTCTAGCTAATTTGCCAGTTCATTATCTCTCCGTGTGCAGGATACCCTCTAGGGAGGCAAAGAAATTGGAGAAAGTAATGAAGGACTTCCTTTGGGAGCCTGTGGAAGAGAAAAATGATCATTTAATTTGATGGGGATTGTTTGTAGGATAAAAGAAGAGGGTGGGTTGGGGTTAGGGAAATTGGCTGTAAAGGATGTAACTTTGTTGTTAGGTAAGTGGTTGTGGAGATGGCCTTTGGAAGAGAGAGGTTGTGGCATGAGGTGGTAGCTAGTATTCATGGATGTTTGGAGAACTGTGGGATGCTGAAGTTTCTCATTGGGCTACTTTGAGCACTCCTTGTAAAGCAATTCACAATATCTTTCCCCTTTTTCTGAACTTTGTCAAGTATGATGCTTGTTTAGGGAATTTATTTTATTTTGGGAAGATGGTATCAAGGAAATCCTGACCCCTTAGGTCCAGTGGGAATAAGAGATTCAGTCAAGGCTGAACTATTGGCATCTCTACAAGGCATTCAGATAGCAAATCAAATAGGGGTGGAGTATCTCTGAATTGAAGGAGATTCTAAGGTGGTTGTGGGCTGGTTAACAGACCCAAGATTAGTAATTTAGTGCTACAAGGATTTCCTAAAGAAGGCAAGCTGGTTAACAAGCAACATGAATGTTAGTTCATGTTGGGTGAGAAGATCGGCAAATGCTATGGTTCATGGTCTCGCTAAACAGGGGGTCTTGAGGGAACATCTGTATTGTGAAACCTTGTAATGATTTGATTATAGTGTTTTATGGTTTCTTACACTTTCTTTTACTTTCAAAAGAGGTCACACCTCGTGCCTCTCTTTGGGGTGTTGTAACTTTGCTTACATATTGATAATGAAGTAACTTTTCAATTATCTATTTATTTATTTATCTATCTGTATATATTAAGCCTTTGAATCCTCAAACCTTGTAGGATTGCCAAAAGTTAAACTCTAGTGGAGTTCCTTAAACCAATTGATCCTGAGAACAAGACCATTATATAACCCACACTATTTCTAAAAATTCCCCCTATGCATGGGGGCCGAGGATTTCCCAAACTACACCCATCAAAGTTTATTTTGATGTATTTGCTTGAAGAGTCCACAAGATAGTTGGAGGAATTCTCAATTGGGATGAGTAGTGTACTTGTTATCGGTTTCTCAAGTTGTCATCTATAAAGAAAGATTTGAACAACTCCAAAGTCACTCTATGTACCAACCAAACAACAATATTTGTTGAGTTTGGGCCGATTTTAAGTTATTGGGCCCAGCTTTGTTTTATTTTTATTTTAGTTATTCAGTTAGGAGGTTATTGGGCATTAGGCCCATTAGTTTATGTTATTTTAAGTTGCAACTGTTCAGCTACTTAAAGTAGCCGCCCTACTAAGGGTATCTTTGTAATCTTTCATTCTTTTATTTTAAGTATATAAATCAAGAGGGGTTGGTGGCCAGAACTAATTTCAATTCTGGCAACATCCCACTCTCTTTTTTTCTTCTTCTTCTTCTCTCTCTCTTGCTGAAACCTTTCAACTTCTACTACTTTTCTTCACAAAGCATACATCAGAATCAATTATCAACAATTTCTACTTGGTATCAGAGCAGGCCAAAGGTTTCTTGAGCTGCTCTATCATGCAGCCCTAGATCGGCTGACTGCATATATGAGAGGCTGATCGAAGACCTCAAGTAAGCCCAGTTTTTGGATTTTTTGGTGGATCTGTTTTGCCCTATAGCTAGTCTAGGGTTTCCCATCAAATTTAGGAAGAACTGGAGAAAGGGGGAGGGGGAGAGTCCTGTTTTTGTAGGACTCTTCAATTTTGACCTAGGAAGTGGCACCCTATTTTTTTAGGGTTCCTTGGAGTTTTTTGAAGGGGGCGGTTTAAGTCCCACCTGTTTTGGAGGCCTCTAGAGGGAGCGGCTGCTTCTTCTCTCTCTTCTCCCACTCCCGCGGAAAGGGAATCTTTTGTGGGAGGACCATCTAGGGTACCAGAAGGGTGTCTGTGGTGGCTGAAGGGAATTCTCTCATATTTCTTCATCTTAAAGTGATTTTCTAGCCCTTTTTTGGAATTAATAAAGGGTCACGAAGTTGAAAACAAATCGGGGAATGAGATGGGACAAGGAGGAGGAGGTGTCGGAGACCTTTTCAGGGCTAGAACCATCACTACAGTTAAGTTAGATGGTACAAACTATTTAGAATGGTAACAATCTACAAAGATGGCCATTGGTGCTCATGGAAAGTTGGGGTATATCACTAATGTGGAAGTGAAACCCAAGACTAACTGCTCCTGGTGGGTACAGGAAAATTATATGGTAATGACTTGGTTGTGTAATTCTATGCTGCCCCATACAAGTAAACTTTTTGTGGGCAAATACAACTAAGAAAATTTGGGATGGAGTTGCAGAAACCTATTCACAGAGTAAGAATGTTGCTAGGGCCTACCAGTTGAGAAACCAGGTTATTGCTACCAAACAGGGAGATAAACCTATTGTTGTTTATTTTTCGGCCCTTAAAACCCTATGGCAGGAAATTGACCATTTGGAGACAGTGGTTTGGGGAAGTAGTAAGGATGCAGCTACCTACCAGAAGCTCTTAGAGAAGAATAGGGTCTTTGAATTTCTTGTTGGCCTTAATCCTGAGTATGTCATTGCAAGGCAACATATCCTTTCTAAGGATAGTGTTACTCTCTCTCAAGCATATGCCTTTGTATCAGGGGAAGAGAGTAGGAGGAATGTGATGATGAAGAATTCGGGTCTTGAGCAGTCATCTATGGTTAGTATTGTGAAACCTAAACAGAGTGGAGATTAGGGTGGTAGTGAAATCAGGAAGGAATATAAGAGGGACCTGTTCTGTGACTACTATAAGAAGCTTAAACACACGAGAGGTACCTACTGGAAGCTTCACCCTCACCTTGTGCTGAATGGACTCAAAGACAATAAGGAAAATGTTAATATGGCAGTAACTGGTGACTTACCTGGACCCCCTACTACAACTACTTTGGAGTCTGTTGCAGTTGTTGCAATGAAAGCCGAACTTGAGAGATATGGGCAGTTACTTAATCAGTGAGATACAGTTAGCCCTAATCCGTTATCAGGTGGACAGCTAGGCACAAGTGGATCTGGTGGTGGACATTCTACTTCCTTTGCTCATACAGGTAGTTCACATGCCACTACAAACTATGTTTCTACTACAGGTAAAGAGGGACCTCCTTGGATTATATATTTTGGAGCCTTATAGCATATGACCCATA